GTTAATCAGGACTTACCTCCTTTTGCAGCCACAACCATTGCACCTGCACCAGAAGCTGAGGAGGACAGCAGCTCCAGTTCCATAAAAGAGGGAGAAGAAGATGAAGATGATGACCTATCCTCCTCCAGCTCAAATAAAGGCGTCATATAGCTTTAGTTTATTTTTCTGTTATTAATTTTCAGTTACTATCTTTCTCTTTTCCTGTATATATTAATTATTATTTCCTTGTAATTATCATACTTTACCATTTTTATTCTCATCTTTCCCTTTTACTTTCCTACATTATCCTTGAACAATATTTGACGCTTTCATATATAGCATTAACAGTTCAGTTTTCATACTTTTCTTTCTTGCGCTTAATCCATTTTGTGTCTTTGTGCAGAGAATGCCCTCAGTCCCATCAAGAGGAGCATGAATTTGATCTCTGAGTTGCCCATCATTTATGAAAGAGGGGTGATCTCTTTGCCTCTCTTTTATATGTTTTTAATTTAAATTTCCTACACAGTTAACATAGAAAATATAAAAACATTTTTGTTATTTTTGTTCAATTTTGTAATCCTGATCTTACAATCTTATTGCACCTTCCATTCAACTCATGAACACACTCTGTTTTGTAAATAATTATCATTCCTACCATACTGAACATATTTTCTTATAAGATGAATTATATCAATATGTTACTAAGTAATTATCACCTTTACTACGGTAGAGAATTGAGCCTTAAATTTCATTTCTGTATGCACTTTACATGTATTTTTGCATTCATCCTCTAGAACTTACCCTACTTCTTATTGAATATACATTATACAATTTTTCATCTAGATGATTGAGGCCTTCTTTGTACACATTCATCCATCCTAGAACACCCCTGCACATAATTACCTTGTCCAAACTATGATTTTTGCCAAACTTAGTTTGCAAAAATAATTTCCTTATCTTAAGAGAAGAATTTCTTTTGAGTTGCATCAAAAGTGAATGCAAGAAACTAAGTTTAGGATGCTAATTATGACTGTAGTTGCTTGAGGACAAGCAAACTCTTAAGTTTGGGGTGGTGAATATTATACATGTTAATAATACATGTTAATAATACATGTCAAAAAAACCAAACAAACAAATATTTGAATTTAAAGAAGGGAATGATTGCCAAAGTCCATAAAATCACCAAAAAAAAAAAGATTGAATGAAAAAGAAAGAAAAGAAAAATACAACAAGAGCCATGAGTTGAAAAGAATCCAACATAAGGCAAAAATAAAAATATGGTGAAAGAATGCTTGAACCTCTTAAACTACATCATTTAATGCATTCCATTCTAGTTGTTGTGTTCATTCACTAAAAAGAATTCCCTTTCCTTGAAAATTCACTTCAACTTTTGACCCTCTTTGATCAAAGTTAGACCTAACCTAAACCCATTTGTGACCAACAAAGTCCTATTAATAGGTGATCTATTATATATAGGCAAAGGAGATTGAGAATATGGGCAAGCATATGGTAGAGTAAGGCAAAATGCATGAATTGAGGAAAAATACTGAACTTGAAACATTGATGAGTGAAGAGTAAAACACCATCCTATGAGGTAGATAATTTCTTTGCATTATATGAATTGCATGAAACCTTGCTAGATTTTTGTTTCAGTTTAATGGGACTTTGCATGAAAATAATTGATATGAGTGTGATCTTTGTGGAATGAAACCATGATTTTGGAAATATTGAAAGTGTCAATTAGAGTTTAAGATTTGGATGACAATTTTTGAAAAAAAATTGGATAAATAAAACCCTTTACATTCAAATTTCTTGAGTTTTGATTTACTTGAGGACAAGTAAAAGTTTAAGTTTAGGGTTGTGATGAATCCACAATTTATATATATTTTATTTAGCTTTTTATAGTTGTTTAATAGAAAAATAGACTTAGATACTGTAAATAATATAAAAATCTCATTTAGGTCAATTATTATAGCTTTCTTAATTTTTGTCTTATTTACAATTATTTTTGTAAATATATTTTACAATTTTGATTATTTGAATAATTATGCAGAAAATTCTAGACAAATTCCATAGATTTTTTTATATTTGAAAAATATAAGGTGGAAGTAATTATTCTCAAGCACTATAGTAACTACTCTAGAGAGCCAATTCCAAAAGACAGTTTAGAGTAACCAATTTTAGAAGCGAGAGTAATCACTCTGGAGCCAAAAGAAGTACCCAGGCTTGCACATGTTTACTCTCGTAAGCAAGAGTAATCACTCTAATGAAACCCCAGACTAAAGCACTCTGCGCGTGTTTACTCTTGTAAGTGAGAGTAACTACGCGCGCCTAAAATAATTAATGTTATACATGAGAGTGATCACTACAGAAGGGAGGAAAGTTGTGAATTGTTGCGCGTGCTTACTCTTGTAAGCAAGAGTAATTACTATGAAGTGGCGTCAGATTTAGTATAAATAGATTTTTAGTAATTAGGATTAGGATCTTTTGAAACTTTTAGATTTTTGCCATTTTAGGAACACTTTGCAGAGCTTAGGTCAGCCTTGGGTGATAGCCAAGGGTTTAACATAGGGTTTGATTTCCATTTTCTCCTTACTTCTCTTTGATTTTTACATTGATATTGTTGATTTCTATTCACTTTCATTTAGTAATTATGAGACTCATCCTTATGGAAGGCTAAATCTTTTGTAATCCCTAGTAAGTTCACTTAGACTCTTGAATTCCTGGATTCTAAATGTTAATGTAATTCCTTTTATTTTATGAATTTCTTTTTTCCAAACTCTTAAATTGAATTAATGGTTGAATGAGAAAGATATTGGTTAATTAACCCTAATTCGTTTTAATGAGATTCTAAACTTGAATTGCTTAATTCTGGATTTATTTCTAAGGTTGCATAATCTTGGGATGAAAGATTGGAGTCCATTGAATTGCTTAATTCGTATGGGAATATAAGGTTGATTTTCGTTTGTTAAATTAACCTAATTCTAAGAGGAGAGGAAGAGTATTAAATTTTGAGAAGAATAAGAATAGAGTTTATGTAAATGAACTAGGGGTTACTTACTTTAAGTGGTTTTATCAATACTGTAAAACAAATTGGCTCAGACTAACATGAGTTAGTAAAGTAAGTGACTCATGCATAAATAACTATTTTTAAACCATTAGATATATTTTAAAATTTATAAACGATTCAAATTTTTGACCTGTAACTTAATAATACTGATTTTTATATATTTATCATTTAATCTTTTTTAAAAATTTTCTTTTTAGATCCTCAAAATTTGTTATTTTATATGTTCAAAACTTATTATCTTTTAACTTTAAAATAATGTTATCTTTTTCAAACTGCATTTATAAATATCATTTATTTAAATAGTAAATTTAAAAAGATATGCATTCACAAGTTATTCAGTGTGTATTAAATTTATTTTAAATATATAATATTTAAAAAATTTATTTTACAAAATTTATTAAAAATTAAATTATAAATAATATAATTTTTAAAATTTATTATAACAAGTTATTTATATTTTTATGAATCATATAATATATTAATTTAATTTTGTCATCATCAAATAAATTATATTGTTTTGTACGTATTCTTTGCACGTGGGCAGTAATTATTAACAAGAAGACAAGGAAAGTCGTAAATCAAAAAAATAAAAGTAAAACTGTTTTGTTAATGATAATTTTAAGATTATTTAAATATAGTAAAATTTATAATTAAAAATATCCATTCAAACAAATATATAGAGCTTTCTTCACTTCTCTGTCTTATTTTTATTCGATTAAAATAATATTTTTTATTTTATTTTTATTTGTTTCATTATTATTGATAATCCTTTTTAAAGAAAAAGTGAAAAAGGATTTAGATTTGTAGGAAATTAGGGCTGCCACGGCCGATGTTAAAGAAATAGGCTTCGTTTCTTTAGTGAGAAGACGAGTGTGTGTGTAGTGATTCAAAATCAATAGGAATGCCAATCATTTATTCCAGATGCCAACTGTTATACCGTGTTTCCAAAGACAAATTGTTACCCCGCACTCAGCAGTTTCCTCTTACACACAACTCACAATCATTCAATTTCAGATTCCACTTTACGCCAATCGTTTCCATATAAAAGAAAATTTCAACACCAAATAAAACGATACGAGGGAGTTTCCTTTTTTTCTCCATTAATAGCTGGGGATGATACTGAAATTAAAACGAGAATATCACATTTTGAAACACGTCATACAGAATCGAAGATATGATTGAGTTTGGTTGTATTCTTACTTGGCAAATGGGATATGAGTTGTAAACTTTGTTCTTAAAATTGCCACTCACCAACAACCGACCAATCATTTCCTCATCCCCACCTTCTTAAAAAGCTTTATTTCTTTTTCTTTTGGATCCATACGCGCAAGCAATTTTATTGTAAAAATCAACCAACATTCCAAATTCTTTATATATAATAACTTTCTTATATCTATGCCTTTTTTATACAATTTTTATATAAAGTATTAAATTTAAAATAGCATTTATATAAATTTTAATTAATAATGTATTGCTAATAAAAACAATTAAAAATATGTTAAAAAGTGGGAGTTGAGATATTTTTGTTTTATATAAGATGGTACCTAGTTCTCCTTCCGCACCCAGCAGTGATGGACAGCTGTATTAGAGACTATAGGCACCAAAATATTATTGTTCCCTTCACAATTGTGATTTTTAACTGATTGACAATAAGCACAAGTGACAAAAGCTAATTAATAGGCATATTAATAGTTCATCATATTTCCCCCAAAAAGATAACTAAGGGTGATTCTTTTCTTGTTATACTAAGTATCTTGCAAGCTTAGTTGGGTAGTTGCAAACTTGCACAGAGAGTGAGTGGGAAAGGAACTTGGGAAAATGCGAAAAAGTTTTGGCAGCAAAACATCATAATCACCTCGTAATCAAGGTCTACTGCATCCAGCAATAGTATACTAAGAGGCTACCACTTACCACAAAAACAGGAAAAAGCACACGCTCTGAGTCAGAGTCAGCACGCACAGCTGTTTGGGATTTGGCGCAGAGTCGGTGAGTGAAGTCAGAAAGTGACCCCATTTAGTTTCTTTGTGTAGCCGCGTTCACTGAGTGTGTGTCCCCTTTCGTTCTTATCTAAATACCAAAGCCTTTTTGGATATGCTGTTCTGTTTTCTCAATAACCTGTTTTTGTAATTCCTATATATACCTCACCTTAATCTCCTTCCTTTTCAAACCACATCAGAGACTCAAACCAAAAAACATATATCATACATGGCTTTCTTTCTCTCGTTCTTTGTCTTGCTTCTTGCTTCGTCTGCCACTGCTTGCGATCGCTGCGTGCATCCATCCAAGGCTGTCTATTTCTCCAAAGCTTCCGCTCTTTCATGTAACAATCATTCATTACCATACCCTTCAATTTTTTTTTTTCAATTTGCATTTGACTTTATAATTTGGCGATCTTATTACTTTATTATATGATAAATTTTGATATACGCAGCTGGGGCATGTGGGTATGGCTCTTTGGCCCTGGACTTGAGTGGTGGACACCTTGCAGCTGGTGTTCCTTCACTTTTCAAAAATGGAGCTGGTTGTGGTGCTTGCTTTCAAGTGTGTATCCAAATCATAAAGTATCTAAGTCTAACCAAATTTTATTTATTGTTATCACTAATCACAATTAATGGATAATTTGGTGCAGATAAGATGCAAGAATCCAACTCTCTGCACAAAAGCGGGTACCAGAGTGGTATTGACCGATCTTAACCACAATAATGAAACTGATTTTGTTCTCAGCAGTAGAGCCTTTGTGGGGATGGCTCAGAAGGGTATGGACCAACAAATATTGAAGCTTGGTATCGTAGATATTGAATACAAGAGGTAGGCTTCAATCACATTTGTTGTTGTAATATAGTTCTCATGTAGTTGTATGATAAATTTTATCCTTTTCCTTTTGTTAGCTTTTGTTTTTCTTTGTGCTTTGTCGTTATGCTTGTGGTTTGGGTTTGTCCCCACTTCCCACCTACTAATGGCCAGCGGGAACCGGCCCACCACCAAAAGAGAACACCACAGTGGACCAACATTTAAATACTAGGACAATCATGTGCCACATTAATAACAGTAACGGTCTAATGTCTATAATCTAATGTATAATGTCAGATGTTTCGTGGCCAATATTAATTTTTGCAAGGGTGTTTGGGGATCTTGAATTAATTTAAATTTAAGTTAACTAAAAAGAATTTGAATTGACTTTTATTTTTAATTGTTAATAAGATTATAGACATTAGATTGCATTGGTTTGTATTGTCATACTGTCAAGTTTGATTTAGTTATGCATAAACATGTCGTGCAAAAGATTCACAGAGGTTACCAAATACTGAAATTTATTTTGTGCGTGGGTTTAATGGTGCAGAGTGCCTTGTGAGTACAAAAGTAAGAATTTGGGGGTCCGTGTAGAAGAATCAAGCAAAAAGCCAGATTATTTGGCAATTAAATTTTTGTATCAAGGAGGTCAAACGGAGATAGTAGGCGTTGATGTAGCTCAGGTGTGTTACCTACTTACCTTGTAATACCAAACAATGTTACTACCCTTATTTATTATTTGATTAAATAAAGTTCTATTGACCATTGGGGCATGTGGCTTTGCTGTTATATTAGGTTGGGTCTTCAAATTGGAGCTTCATGAGCAGAAACAACGGTGCTGTGTGGGACACAAGCAGGGTTCCCCAAGGGGCATTGCAATTCCGGTTAGTGGTAACAGCAAGGTATGATGGCAAGTGGATTTGGGCACAGAAGGTTCTACCTGCTGATTGGAAAACTGGAGTTATATATGATTCTGGTGTTCAGATAACAGACGTTGCACAAGAGGGTTGTTCCCCATGCGATGATGCCACCTGGTCATGATTCTTCACAAGACACTGTTCATGTGTTCACGTATACACAGAGATATACCCTTCCATTTTGTTTGTTCATACTATAATATATAACCTAACAAAGCATCTCATATACTCAAGAAATGTGGAGTAGCTTAATAAATTTGAAAAGTTTTCTTGTTTGTAAACTACTCAATTTCGTCACTTTGTATTCTTTTTTTCACTTACAATAATGTCTTTTTCTCAACTTATTGCTGAAAATGGAATGTTATTCTAACGTGTATAATATAATGCTCACGTAAACACAGTTGGCAACAGAAGCTAAAATATACCATTTATTCCTAAGTATATTCCACCGCTCTCATTCTTGGTGTGTATTGGGCATAAGTTTGAAAAATCAAATCTTTCAGTTTTTAATAAATACATGTTTTAATAAAAAAAAATTAATATTAATTTAATAGATATCGTAATTACAATTCATTATTAAAAATTAACTGTATTGATATCAATTATATTAATTTCTAAAATAAATAGCCCTTAATTTATGTTTTTTTGCTTCAGTCCATTACCCTTGTAATGTTGTCGAGTTTCCGTCCATTGCCCTTGAAAGATTATTGTCATTCTAATAAATAGGTGTTTTCGTTTCGTTCTACATAAGCGTATTCTATATAACTCTAAAGCCCATCGAACTTTGAATCAGTGTAGTCCAGCTCTGTTTAGTGCCAAGCTTTGGGCTTTTTATGTCTGGGCTTTCTCTAATGTCGTTATCAATAGATTTACCAAAAAATGCTACTCATCACACTAGGAAAAAAAATGCAAGTTACAATGACTCCAATATTTTAATTTGACCAGAAGACAATGAAAATATCACATCCGCACTCTTAATTTTAAAATGAGGAGTGTGACCAAAATTTAATGGTAACGATAACAATTATTTATAATCCAACTTTACATTGACTTATATGTATATTTTGAGTTTGACTGCTCTATTTAATTAATTCATTTTTCAACTTCAATTTTGAAAAAAAAAAGTATGAGGTAGATAGAAGATTCATAGTGATATTTTATTAAATATTTTGCAATTACAATATAATAAAAAAATATTGAGTTGTGGTTTGTCCATTACATAAATTTTGTTTTTATTTATACGTGCTCCTTTTTTTATATTAGTCTTAAAACAACAACAATAAAAAAATTATTTTATTTTATCTATTTTTAACTCAAGCTCCCCTTTTACAAGTTAAAATTTACATTATATAGAATGATATAATAAACTTACATGGTAAACTGTTTATATCATGTTATTTCAACAAATAACAAAAATATGATATGATAGGAAAAATATCTTATTATATTGTGTTTGCTTAATAAGCTCTTAGGATTTCACCATACTATAAGTTAAATAAAATTAACTGCTAGCCTGTGCATTGTATGAGTCTGTTTAATCATTATTAAGTATTAGTGACTTCTCTGTGTCTTTCCTAGCTATTATTACATTATACTAAAATTGATTAAAAAATAAAAAATATGTACGTTATTAATTTTAAATTTATAGATTTTAAAAATTAAATAATTTAATTAATAATAAAAAATATTTTATCATATTAAATACAAATAAATTAAGAAGATAAAGTTATTAAAATAAAAATTAATTACAAAAATTTAAATGTTAATTAAAAAGTAGATGTTTAATGCAAAAAAAAAAAACTCTTAAAATATTTCTATTTAAAAATAAAAACTCACAATAAATTTAGGTAAATTATCTAAAAATGTTTTTATATTGCACTACATGAATTTTATTAAATTAAAATAAAATAATTTTCAATAAAATTTTAAAATATATTTTAAAATTTGATCAAGTATAATTATTTTATTAATAATAATGATATTTTATTTTTTTAAATATATAAGATTTTATATTAAAAAAATTATCATATGTAAATCAATACAAAAAGATAATAAATTGTCTCTAACATTTAATAGCGAGTTACACACTTATATAAAAAAATAATATATTTTATGAAAAACTAGTGATGTAATATTATGTTAGCAAATTAATTTATAAAATATATAACTTTCAAGAGTTATGATTTGTAAAATTTTATTTAGTGGTTAAGATAAGATAATTATTATATTTACTTTTAATCAAATATTTATTAAATTACATGAATAAAATTAATTAACTAAGTTATTTATCATATTTAATTGAATTAGTGTAATTGTTATCTTAAAATTATAAGTAAATTAGAAAACAAAAGAAACGATAACAATTGTCTTCTTTAAAATATTTTTAATTTATTTATTTTATTACCTTTTTCTCCTTATTTCTCTCTCATTTCTCTTTTACTTTCATCTCTATTTTTGTATATTTTTTAAAATATATTAAAATTTTAAGAATTTTATTAAATTATTTTTAAATAATTTTTAAAAAAATATTTTAATTTTTTTATAAATTAAGAAGAAATAATTTATAAAAATAAAAATTTTAATTTTAATTTAATAAATATAGACAAAAGAATAACTTTATCACTTTTCTACATATTTCTGTCATGTCTTTTTTTCTATCAAGTATACATCAAACATTGAATAAGATAAAATGGACCTTCTTGTCCTATTTATTTTTATTTTGACTATCAAATAGCCCTAAATATATAATCAGAGTAGATAGATAAATATAAAAATTAAAAATAAAGTTTAGAATTTATGTTTGAAATAAAAAAAATTAAGAAAACATTAATATAAAAATTTAAGAAAAATTTTTTTATTGCGTTAAATTATATTAAAGAAAGATTTTTAAAAGATAGACATTTTATCGATTCAAAAACCGTATTTAGTTTTAAAATTTAATTTCACAAATTTAATAGTGAAAATTTCACATTATTATATTAAAACACAGAATTTATTTTTATTTTTATTTTATTTTTATCTAAAACTGCAATTATCCTTGAACTGGCTCTAAATTTGAGAAAGAAAAAAAAGTTAATGTCTCAAATTTTTAACCGTTAATTAGCAAAGGACATAATATTATACAAGTGAATTAATTTATAAAATATATAACTTTTAAGAGTTATGACATGTAAGAGTCTATTTGGATGGATTTGATATAATAACTATCATATTCATTCTTAATCAAATATTTGTTAGATAAAATTAATTTATAATATTATTTATTATATTTAGTTGAACTAGTGTAATTGTTATCTTGAAAATATGAGTCACTTAAAAGACAAAAAAAATATAACAATTGTCTTTTTTAAAGTATCTTTAATTTATTTATTCTATTACTTCTCTTTCATCTCTCTTATACTCTTATCCCTCATGTCTATTTTTATATATTTTTAAGAATATATTTAATTTTTAAAATATTATTAAATTATTTTACATATTTTTAAAATTAAAAAATATTTTAAAATATTTATATATTTTTTATAAATTAAAAATAAATAACTTATAAAAAAATATAAATAACAATTTTTGTCCCTTTCTCTAACATATTTTTTTTTTGTATTTTCTTATTCCATTTTACTAGAAAAGAAAAATAAAACAATTTTGCTTTTAAAAAAATAAAAATCAATCTAAACAAACAAACAAAAACTCATATTTAAACTTAAAAATGGAAAATGAAACATTGTAGAAAATAAAATTCATAAATCAATGTTTGCTTCACATGGAGAAAAAAGAAAAATTCAGAAGTTTAACTTTTTATGAAATTCTAAAATAGGACTAATAAATAGCAAAATAAGGAGATCTAAGAAGGGAGGAAAGTTTTTAGAAAAGAAGCAAAATTTGTTTAGAGAGAGTAACAAGTTCTCAGAAAAAAAAAATAACAAAAAATAGCAAAATGTTAAAAGAAGAGATCTAAAAAGGAGATCTAAAGAAGAAAGAAAAAATTTTGAAAATAAAAAAAGCAGAAAAAAATATGAATCAAAATAAAGGAAGAATAAAGAGAAAAAGAAGAGTATGAAAATACACATAAAAAAAGAAAAAGAAGAGTTAAACAAAAAAACAAAGTGAGTTTGTTTGATTTAGTTTTAATTTTTAATTTTTAAAAATTGTATTTTAAAACACTTCTTTTAGGAGAAAAGATAAAATAAAGTTTGTTTGATAATTTAATTTTTAAAACTATTTTTAGTTAAAATTTTGTTAGTTCTAGAAAGAAAAACAGAAAAATAAAAACAAAATACCTAAATAGTAATTCTGTTTTTTAATTTAAAAAGCTGAAAATAAAAATTAATTTTTAAAAATAATTTTTAAAACTTATATTAACAAGTAAGTTTTTTAATTTTTTAACTTTAAAAACAAAAAACTCTACTTAAACAAGTAAACAAACAAGTTGTAATTATCTTCTTCTTATCATATTTTCATTTGTCTATGCGGTAGAAATTTTTCTTGATATGTTAACTTTTACTCTTTTTCTTGGTTATTCATGAAGCTGAGCTCTTTATTTTTTATTTTTTAACAATCTCTCTTCCCATGTAGCCTCTTGACTGTATGTAAGAAAATGAATAGTATTTTGCCAGACTTTTTTGGTTTTGTCCAGTCTTCCTTTCTTTACGTATACCAAAATTATATTTTATATTATTATTAAAAAAATATTAAACCATATATTTTAATGTATTTAAATATTATTTTTTTATTTCAATAATATTTATAATTATAAGTAAATAGAATATTATTTATGTTTCAATATGTTCTTTAAGTTTAATTTGTTTATTTATTTACTTTTTCTAGTAAATTATAATAGTGATTATATTAAAAATAGTGACAATAATTTAAAATAAGGCAAATAGACTCCTTAAATTCATTATTGTTATTATTAAAAAATATATTAGTTTTTAAGTAGATAGATAAACATGTAAATTAGAAATGAAGTTTAGAATTTATGTTTGAAATATAAAAATAAAAATACTTAAGAAAACATCAATATAAAAATTTATCGTGTTAAATTATATTTAAGAAATATTTAAAAAAATAGACATTTTGTCAATTCAGAAAAGGTATTTAGTTTTAAAACTTAATTTCACAAATTTAATAGTGAAATTTTCACATTTCCACATTATTAAAAGACTAATGTATTTTATTTTTTTTATAGAGCTTCAATTATCCTTGAATTGGCCCTAACTTGGAGAAATAAAAGTTAATGTCTCAAACATTTAACCGTTAATTAACAAAGGAAAAAAAAAACAGTGAAATATAACTAATGCATGAACAGTTAACAAAAGCGTACTAATTATATCAGAAAACCATAATGGATAACACTTTCAGTGAAGATTACTAATTTTATATATGCATAAATTTCTTTACAAAATTTATGAAAATACTTATAATTTTTTGTATTTTTTAGTAAAATTTATTAAACTAAGTTTTGTCACCATAATTCTATAATTTTTATAATCAAAATTACAATATAAACTCCTACACAATAAATTTTTTCTTTCTGAAATAACAATAAGAATTTAGTAAATAAATATTCAATGAAGTTATTTATCTTAATACGCTTGCGATTTTCCACGATTTTTCACGGTTTATATAGAATTAAACCTAATTATCCACCAAAAATTAAGGGACTCAATTATCTTCAAATACATTTATTTTTCAAGAATGCATTTTAACAACGTCAACACAAAAATTATATAAAAAATGAAAGATTTTTCTCTGTAAGAAAGAAATTAATATATTAAAATATGATGGAGACAGAAAAGTATCCATCAAACGATACATATCGACATAGAGAATAGAGAATAGAGAATAGAGAATGATGATTTAGTTAAACAAAAGTTAGACTAATTGAAAAGAAAACAAATTATGCATAGTTGACTAATTCTCAATTAAATGCAATGCCAGATAATGGAAGTCAGTCAACTGCCACTTTATTGCAACAATTAACAATGAGTTGTCATAAGAAAGTGACACAAAAATAAGATAAATTTCCTAAGGTAATTGCAAAGCGATGTATTGCAATTTGGAAACTACATTATATTTCATAGGATATTTGTAATCTAAAAATGTTAACTTTTTGGTTTTACCATATCAATTCATAATTCTATACTGAAAATATTGTTAACCCATGCCTATAAGACACTCGTTAAGAACTAAAAAAGACGAATAAAAATACTATTAAAATTAGGATAAATATACATTAATAATTTTTTAATAGTTCAAATTTTTTTAATCAATATTCTCAAGGTCTTAAGGGAACTGATGCATATTTTTTCTTTTTATATTTTACAACCTCTCAATATTTATATAGAATATTCAAATCCTTCTCGCTTAAGTTTTTTTTTTTTTTTGTTAAAAGAATATATTATAGGAGTTTAAAAAATATAATTTAAAATTTTTAATAGTTGTTAAATATTTTTTATATATTTTTTAATTATTTATGTAGTGATATGTCATATTATTATTATTATTATTATTATTATTATTATTATTATTATTATTATTATTATTATTATTATATTGAGTATAATATTTTCATTATATATATATATATATATATA